ACACACAGACACACAGACACACACACACAGGCCCCCTGGGGCTCGGTGTAGTTGTATCGGACTTGGAGGCAGAGCCGAAAACAGCCCAAGGATGTTTCTAAGAATGAAGTGGGCGGCTCAGCAGCCAGTGGAAATATGCTATTTCTGTCTCGTATCATAGCGGGCCGTTGAGGGGGTGGGTCTGTGGTAGCGGTGCCCATATGACCCCCTCCCCTGCACTCAGCGCTCCCTCAGACCCACCCCCCCTCGCACACCCTGTTCTCCCCAACCTCTCCCTCACTCCCCTGGGTGTTACAGGCCAGTCCTCCGCACACCCCCAGCTAGCATGCTAATGCTGTGATGCTGACAAGGTAACCGGTAATGGACAGCAGTGATGAGACAGTTAAGGCTAGTGGCATACCTGAGGGCCGGGGGGGCCGGGGGGGCCAGGGAGACCTGGGCCACAGGTGGGGGTCAGAGGCTTGTTTTCATCCTCCTTAATTTCTCCAGGTATGATGGGGTTCCCATTCTGTACCTGGCATTAGAGCTGATTAAAGGGGGATCTGGCAATTCACAGGTTATACACCTTTGCTTAATATTCCGTAACTTCCATAAGCACGGTAGGGGAAATTTCCCACAATGCTCTGGGCTCACCATGCAAATCATCTAATGAAATTATCCTGTCATAGAAAGGACCAAACACAGACAAACTCGATCGAGGGAATGCAAAATCTGCTTGAAAGGAGACTTCATTAAGCTAATTATTTCTTTATTTTATTAATTTTCTCAGTGAAGGAAGAGAAAGAGGTTTGAAAATTCAATGGGCAGGATTGAGTACTATCAATCCTGCAAATCAATTGTTATTGGTTCCTGTGGGACTGAACCGCACAGTAAGGGACAGAGTATAAAAAAATTCTAGGCTGCCGTGATTTTCAAAGTCTCGTTTCTCTCTCCTCCTGTCAATACAGCCGGCCTGAATTCAGGAAACCATGCAGTTATGAAATCCAGATATCATGATTTAACTTGTGGGCAGAGCACTGCACTGTACAGCACTGTAGCAGAATTCAACAGAAAATAGGGGGCGTCGTTACACCACGGCGGCAGCTGATAATTCGTTGGAGAACGTCACTCACGTGATTGTGTTTATGCCATAATGCGGGAGGGGGCGGGAACAGCGGCGGAGGGGGCGGAGCCAGGAGACAGCAGGGCTCAAATTTCTTTTTTTGATCCAAGGGTGTGAAAGCTTGGTAAATATCAGACACAAAACACAAACTGGTAAGCAGGGAGGAATGACCTTCCACCTTGTTGACTGGGCGAGTATAAACAGGATCAGACAGTCAGAGGACGGCCAGCGGTGGCACTAGACGGAAATGGATTTTACACATAAATCATGGATACAAGGGATGAAAGGGAGTCAGATTATGTAATGTTTCTTAAATGCAAGAAAAATATTTCCACGTAATATATATTTCAGGCCCATTTAGTACCTTTGCATGGTAGGAATATCAATATCAATAAGTAAATACAGTGCCTGAAGGGTTAAACTAAAAAGAATTCAGGCAGAAATCATCACCATACATCAGAAGCTTCTAGCTAGAAACCTGCATCATTCTTTTCTTTTCTTTTCAATTTACTGCTCACACTCCCAGTTACTCATCAGAAGCACAGAGGCCATTAATCAGAAACAGCACAAAACAAATTACTTTAAAGACTAAAGGCGGAGATTCGAGCCATTTCTTTGTTGTTCAAAGGGAGAGACAGCCGGCTGTTCTTTCGAAAGCTCTGTGAGGCTGCCGGAAAGCCTTTGTAATAAATACAGGCTGTCAGGGAACACGACCAGACACTTAGCAGCAGTGGGGGAGCATGCAGCTCCTCAGTCACGGGCCCAGAAGGCAGACGGATGAGGGAGCGAAGTGAAACCGGCAGAACGCCTTTGCCGTACGACCAGCCGGCTTCTCACCTGTGCCGGAAGTTGGCGCTTCGGATCTGGCCTCAGAGGGATACCCCTGTGTGTGAGAGACAGGGGTCCCAAGGACCGCGGCCAGGTGGGGAGGGGGGCAACGCGGAACACTCAATGGATGTTTACTCAACCAACATCGGAGCGTCCTACAGCAAGGTGTGTGTGTTTGTGTGTCGCGTGTGTCACGGGGTGGGAGCCGCTATTCATAGTAACAGAATTACATACGGAGTGTGAAATCTGCCAGTAAAGACAGACAGGAACTAAGGGGACCTTCAGTTGCCAAACGGGAGAGCCGGGGCTCTTCCCCCCCATTCTGGACACCGGTCGTTGGGACCCCCCCCCCCCAATCGGAGATGCATGAAGTCACGCTTCTCTGCGATGTGGTCACGCACACAGAGGCATGCACACGCACATGTAGGCCTGCGCGCACGTGCGTGTGTGTGTGTGTGTGGCAAGCCCCCCGTGGGGCAAGGCGGGCTGCGAGGCGACGGCGGCGTCCCACCTACCTGCCGGAAGGTGAAGGATGTTCTCTGTGACGGAGAACTGCAGCAGGACCTGGCAGAAGAGGACCTGCAGGTACAGGCCGAGCGTGACGGGCACCATGCTGGTCTGGGTCTTTCTCTGCACTCACGGTGTGAGCTTCTGCTTCTCCTTCACGGATCGCCTGCTCCCCCCCCCCGCCTCGCTCACTCTCCTCTCTCACTCTCTCCCTCCCTTTCAGGGTCCCTGTGCCTTTAGGAAAGAGGAATGCCGCCCCCAGGCAGGGGGATCCTGCCCCCCCCTCCCTGACCCAGACAGCTCTGTGATTACAGCAGCCCAGCTCTCAGCTGCTCTCTTCCCTCTTCCCGTCGCGCCGTGTCCTTCTCCCCATGTGCGTGGCGGCTGTTTTTGGTGCCGTTTCTGTGAGGTCACTCGTTTGCTCCCATTCATTTACATAACAAATAAAATGAATCATTCTAACCCACTATATTCACTGCTGAATTATCGATAGATAGATCGATAGATAGATCGATAGATAGATAGATGTGAACAAGGTTTGTGCTGAATGATGTAATCAAATAAGTGATGCCCGTTTTATAGGAGGAATACTGCAAGAAATACCTGATCACATCCATCCAGCTTCAACAAAGGCTGTGGCAGGCTTTCCAGAAAAGACACAGACACTGGCTGCCTGCAGTGGTGCAGGTCGGCACTGATGTCTTTAAAGCAGCCCCCCCCCTCCCCCACAGCTCACGCTTTGCCAAATGAGGCCTGAATCTTCTCAGGCGGTATGAGGCACGGCAGAGCGATCCTTCCTGCAGGGCGCGGGCTAAGCACTGACGGGGTCATCATCCACTTAGGGGCTATAGCATTCAGCAGGGGCCTGTTTCACAAAGCAGGATTACTTGCTTAGCCAGATAACTTGCCAGATTTAAGGTAGTCTGGGCTAAATAGACCTTATTTTCCTCAATTTACATTTCGCCCAGACTACCTTAAATCTGGCAAGTTATCTGGCTAAGCAAGTAATCCTGCTTTGTGAAACAGGCCCCAGGTCTTCCCACATCGCTTCCAGCATCAAAGGCTCAAATGGGCCTCATCGACTGAGGCTCAGAACGTTGGGGAAACCCGGGTGACTCATGCTCTCATTACAGTTGCTGCTAAGTGATAATTTCCAGCTGGGGTCTCCCAGGACATCAGTCCACTGCAGGACACACTCACACCATCATACACTATGGGCAATAAAGGAACTCCAGTAAGCCTTAGACCCAATCCAGCCCTCGGGGACCCACAGACAGTCTATGTTTTTGCTCCCTTTTGGGAGCAGGGAGGGAGCAAAAACCTGGACCGACTGCGGGACTCAGAGGACCGGATTGGGAAACATCGCTTTATACTGTGGGAGGGAACACACACAACGCAGGGAGAACATGCAACCACTATGGGATTCAGATCTCCAGCTCTGAAAGTGTGACGCAATGCTGCTAATCACCGGGCCACCATGCCATCTGTATTCATTTCCATTTAATTACTGTATTTAAAATAGGGGGGACGGAAGCACTAAAACGTACTAAAGCACGATGACATATATAATGAAATACTGCCCTCTGCAGTAAAATACGAGTAGAGCATATTGATGGTTCTTCACGTGTGCCCTTTCCTCATTGTCTGTGTTCGTTTGATTATGTCTGAAATACAGCAATAACGCGACGGAACGTGCGTTCTGGAGGCAGCGCCCAAATGTAGCAAACTTGATTAGTAATTACAGTGTAACGCTTATATTTGAAAAGTTTGATAATCGACAGGAACCATTGGTTTATTTGCGCATTTCATGTTTCTAAGAACATGGTGTACTATTTGTTCAATTCCTTTCATTGCTCCGATACATTTATGCATAAACATAAGTGTGTTTTAAGATCGGTCCGCAGAATAGGATAATCGCTGGGTTAAATTTTCTTTACTTAATTTGCAGCTGTACTGTTTCCTTGAATTATTATTATAAGGCCTGGTGAAATCCCTACTAAAAAACGTATAAATTTAAAGACCAAGCATTGACACCTAACGTATCTACATTAAATAAATGTATCTTGCACGCCGTCACAAACGAATAAATGACTATTGCGCTAAAATACTTTCATATATTCATCTTTATCCCAGTTCAGCCGATCATTGGTCTTATGTCTATAATAAGGTTGGAAAAGAAGGTTAACAGTCCACACGGCGACACGCCCAAAAAGAACTAACCAATCAGTGGTGGGGATAGTCTGGACACGCTCGAAGTTTACCCAATGAGAGAAGCGAAATGGCTGACCTTTGTAATCCAGTAATACAGAAAAACAAACCGCGATGCTCACCTGACTCAGTGATTATTTGATTTAGCTGCATTTACTAGGCAAACTGGTTACGTTTCACTAAGAAGTTGCCCCTAGCTGCTGTGTGCCTGATGCAGCGCCACCTCCTGGGCAAGTGCTGCGCCGTGCTGTGGCTCTGCCAAGCGACGTTGGCGCAGGCGGCAGAGCGCACCTATGTCGCGGCGGTGTACGAGCACAGCGTGGTGCTGAACCCGCGGCCCCGGGAGCCCCTAGGACGCCGCGCGGCGCTGGAGCACATGCGACAGAACCTGGACATGCTGGAGAAGCAGGCCGCCGCAGCCGCCCGACAGGTCCGACATCTCGGTCACGTCCGGAGAAGCGTATTACGAAAAAAGAAGAAAAAAAATCCTATGAAGTTGGGGTCCTGCAGTCCTGCCTGGCGTGCGGACTATAGACAGAACTATTTATTGACAGTATACTCCCAAGATAAATATATTTCTGAGATTTGTAGTGAAGTTTTCTTTTTTGTGCTGTCCTTTGTATAGCGTGAGGCTATGAATAAAGTACTTTGCATCGTGCATTTTAAGTGCGCTTGTGTTATTTCCAAGGTTAATATTTACATTTACATATTTAGACGCTTTTGTCCAAATTGTTATACATTTGAGGAAAAGTTTGTGGTCAGCCGGGTGAGTTGGTGTCCCTGGAGCGGTTGTGGGTTAATGGCCCCTGCTCAAGGACGCAACGCCAAAATGATTACTCTGCTGGCAGTGGGATTTGAACCTATAACCAGACATGGTATCAGGTTGTTCCAAGCTGCAGAAGCCTGGAGCTCAGAGAAATGCTGCTGTAGCAGTCGGAAGGATGTGGGTGACCTGGCTTTTCCCCTTCCAGGGAGCCCAGATCATCGTCTTTCCAGAGGACGCCATCCATGGGTTTAACTACACCAGAGAGTCCATCTCCGGGTACCTGGAGACGGTGCCGGATCCCGCCGCAGTCAGCTGGAGCCCCTGTTCTGAGCCAGACCGCTTCCCCGACACCGAGGTAGCTGAGCTCTTCTTCCATCTCCTTAATTAAAAAGCCCCCCACCCCCCACTTTCATCTCCATGTCAAATAACCACTAAGTACTGCTGGTGCTTTTACCCCCAGTAATTAACTGAGAGAATTAGCTGTAGGACTGTTATGTCATGAGAGGCAGAAAGTGCTCAGCAAGCAGGAACGTGGCTTTGAAAGGGCCTGTGAAGCACGTAAACAGACCGACAATCCTGATCCTGCCCGATATTCCGATAAAGCAGCCATTTCAGAGAGCCCTCATAATGAGGGCTGATGCCCACCCCCAACAAAACATCCCCAAAGGTGAGAGTAAATATACTGGAACAATGAACAATGAAAATGTAGTGGCCATTTTTACAGTTGAAATCAGTATAAGGAAACATGACAGATAAAACCATTAGAATTTTTAAAATGTACTCACCATACTAAACTTTGCCATGTTCACGTTCAGCACGCCGCTCATAATCACCCTCGCAATGCGCCATCGCAGGTTTTGCATCGCCTCAGCTGCATGGCGCTAAAGAACGCACTCTACCTTGTGGCCAACATGCCGGACCGGCAGGACTGCGACTGCCGGCTCGATCCCCGCTGCCCCCCCGATGGCCGGTACCAGTTCAACACCGACGTCGTCTTCAGCGCCAACGGCACCATCGTGGCCAGGTACCACAAACAGAACCTGTATTTCGAGGCCGCGTTCGACGTGCCGCCCCACTGTGAGCACGTCACGTTCGACACGCCCTTCGCCGGCAAGTTCGGTGTCTTCACCTGCTTTGACATCTTATTCTACGAACCTGCCGTGTCCCTTGTTGAGAAGTGGGGGGTGCGGCAGCTAGTGTACCCCACCGCCTGGATGAACCAGCTCCCCCTGCTGGCTGCCGTGCAGTTCCAACGCGCCTTCTCCTTTGCCGCTGGAGTGACCTTGCTGGCGGCCAACGTGCGGGCAGGGGGTCTGGGCATGACAGGGAGCGGCATTTTCACCCCCTGGCACACGGTATACCAGCACAACACCGAGAACGAAGAGGGTCAGCTGCTGCTGGCCACCATTCCCATACTGGACACCGAGACCAGCAGAACCAGCCAGGAATGGGCAAGGGAGCCCTTCTCCGGAAACTCGCACTTAGAGCCCCAGTTCTGCGGGGGAACCCAGGTGTGTGAGCAGGACCCCTTCCCCATTACACCTACCTCTGCCAACTGCAGCAGCACTTTCCACTCAGTTATGATGTATGACAACTTCACTCTGGTACCCTTAGAAGGTTCAGAGGGGAACCTGACTGCGTGTGACGGGCTGCTCTGCTGCCACCTACTGTTCAGGAGGTCAGCTGCACCCGGAGAGCTCTACGCCCTGGGCGCATTCAGAGGCTTGCACATCATCCATGGCACCTACGCTCTGGAGGTGTGTGCGCTGGTTAGGTGCCCGGGCCCCACCTTCACCAGCTGTGGGGGCGAGATCGACCACGCCAATACACGTATGGACTTCCGTCTCTGGGGCAACTTCACCACCAGATACGTGTTCCCCAGCGTGCTGGGCAGTGGCATGCAGCTGGAGAGACCAGACCGGCACGGGCCGGAGGGAGCCGGGTTCTTCATGAGCAAGGCCGGGATGGCCAGAGGCCTGGTGACGGCCTGCCTGTATGGCAGAGTCTACCACAAGGATAGGGAGGCCTAACGTGTGCACGACTGCTCAGTGGCGTTACTGGGATGCCAGCCTGGTGGGCATGTGGGTATGCTGGGTGGGCATATGATCCGTTTGGCCACGACACATGTCCCTGTGACTGCTGTCTGTAACACCCTGTAATGCACATTAAAAATAACAGCAAAATTAAACACACATTCACTATGTAACAGTCTGAAATTAGCACAGCCCAATTACCTTTTCAACAATGTCACCTCCCTGAACAAATCTTTCCTTGAGGAAAAATAACCACAAAACAACAAACCAGATATTAAATTACATAACCCACTTCTGGATTTTATTATCCATAAAATATACAGGAATCCCAGACGTACTGAAAGAACGCAGGTATAAGTGTCCGGGTAGTCACTGTCACTATGTACAAGCCAGCTCCGTCCTTCCGGAAAGACACACTATCCCATTCCAACGGCATAAAATCAGCATTGTACACAAATCCAGTTTAAAATAGATTTTTGAAATAAGATTTTAATTAACACACACACAAACAAAATGGCTTCACAGACGGAGGGAAAAAAAAATTAAAAATAAAAACAAAACGGGATTATAAGAGCAGTCAGGCTAACCTGCCACCGACTTCATCTCCATGGGCTAAAGTCTCAGTCTGCTTTGTGCTACTGGCCTATTGTTTGATACCATCCTTCAGAACTGTTTTAGTGTCGAGGTCCCCTCTCGTTAAGCTATGGCCAAATTGGACCTAATCAAGCCTCTGATTAACCGGACGCTGCGCAGTAACGGATGTCCCACGCACGCCGGGACTGAAAATATAGGTGCTTTACTTTGTTTAAATTATTATTGTATAACAATTCTGCAGGCTGAAATTGTACTCCGCAGCGGAGGCAGAGGGTGGAATCCCCCGTCCAGATCCAGAAGGCACGTGGAGAGAGGCGAAAAGAACTGATATCGCCATGGAAAAAAGGAGAAAAACAATGATTTTATTTCTAAAGTAACAAAAGCACTGGAAGGGACAGCTTATTCTCACGGTTTGATCTCCGTCTCCCACTACACTCCCCGCTGGCCCGCTGGCGGTCTGGACCGTGGGGGGACGGGGGGAGGGGGGGGGGGACAGGGGAGTGGTCAGATGTGGTTGCAAGCGCACGGAGACTGCAGCTTTAGTGTAAAAACCCTGTCTGCACCACGCATTGCTGGTCTCAAAAAAAAAATCATACGTAAGAAATGCGTGAGAAAAGGCCATCGTATTAAAATTTCGTCCCAAAAAATAATTTATTTTTTTCTCCCCCAGTTTTTGATTATTGAGGCGAGGAGGCGCATCTTGAAATCTGCGAGTACTGAGACGTCACAGAAATCAGAACTCTGGTCACTGGACACAATAAATTAACCACGGCCGACACGATCCCTGGCTCCCTCTCTTTCTCTTCGTCATGCTAACGAGGGCTTGCAGACGCCTGCTCGCCACTTGGTCCCTTTGGCCTCGTCCCCTCCGGGTGCCCGCATCACGCACGCTGGCTTGTCGCCCGAGTTTCGCCCACAGCTTGGCTCAAAGGAGTCGGTATTTTTTTGTTTTTTTTAATTCATGTTTAAAACTTTCCTTTCATTCGGAAAACAAAAGAACACAGTTACGAGAAAAGCTAGAAAGGTTTCTGGCACCGCCGATGAGGATAAGGAAAGAAGCATAGGTAGGTGAGAAACAGTGTGGGCCAGCGTGCGGTAACTCTCCCGCCCTCTCCAACAATTTAAGGCTCCTGAGTCTTCGGGACACCTGGCTGGAGGGTAGGTCTCCACCAGGCGGGCCCTAGTGATTAAGACGGGGACGGGGTCGGGGAAGCGGGTACACATGGGGTCCTCAGTAGGTCTCCGAGTCCGAGTCGTTGAGCTCGTCGTCCGGGGCATAGAAGCCGTCCTCGCGGGCCACGTTGTTGAAATTGCAGTAGGAGCTGTGCTCAGTCCTCAGTGTGGGCAGAGTGTCGAAGGTCACCGTCTTGGACGGGCTCGAGTAGTGGTTAATGGCGTTGAAGCCCAGGCTGGGGATGCTGGCGCTGCTGGGAGACACGGGCATCATGGTGGCCAGGATGAGGGCGAGGCAGTCGGCCACATCTTTGTTTGGGGCACACGCCAAGGCAGGGGTGTAACCTAAGGGCAACAAAGAAACACAAACAAACGTCTATAAAGCCATATGAATGTGACAACTCTGCTAAATAGTGCTGCCCCCTAACTAGCAGGATAAGAACTGCACACACACACACAGTTTTTCCAGCACCCAGGCACTGAGTGGTCTCTGTTAATGTAACTGCAGGTCTAGTTCGAGCCGCCTAAGCTTGAGCATGTTGACGGCAGCCCCCCTTACCGTTCTCGTCGACCGCGAGCACGCTGGCACCCTTCCCCAGCAGCTCCTGCACCACCACGGTCAGACCGTTGCGGGCAGCCACATGCAGAGGCCTGGGGGGGGGGGCACAAGGACTCAGCTGAGATATGACCCAAACCCACCTGGATAACGAATCCCAAACTCAGAACCCAAAAAGTTACTTGCATCCACCAGCTACCTGCAGCACATGATTAACTTTACATTGTTTGGGTGGGTTCAAACATTTTTATTTCGTCACTTTTAATCCACCCATCCATTCATCTATTCATCAACTGCTAATCCAGTACAAGGTCAGAGGGAGCCTATGCCAGCCAGCCTGGGGCACAGACTGGTGAACGCCCAGGATGAACTGCCAGACCTCCGTGAAACACCTCTCAATACATTTAAGGTTAGGCAAGTTTTTGTCTATTACACACAGATGTCACCAGGGGGAGCTCTGTAGTCATGTTTTATACGGGCAAATTGCAAATATCTCTATACTTCACCCATGCACTCCTGCCCTGGACTATCAACTGAGCTAGTGCCCATTTCCTGAGAGCTGACGGAAAGCGGCCGGCACACCGGCACTCCAGAGACAGGGATACGGCCATCAGTGAATTCAGAGCTACTACAGTCAGTGCTGTTCATAGCCCAGAGGGCTGCGCTCACACACTCGGAAGTCTGGCTCCCGACACTGATCTGCTGAATGTGCCACAGATGAGCTCTGCTACGCTACAGGGCTGCTAACATCAAAGTGCACAGGGCAAATGACCCAATCCCTATTGGTACATACAAATATTTATGTACTGAGCTATTTATATTTTTTTGAACACAGACCGTCCGAATAGTGCCTCTCTACTGTTCTGTTGCTGTTTTTTAAAAAAACGTGAAGACAAACATGAAAAATATTTCAACACAACAAAGTCGGGCTGGACAGCTGGTGTGAAGATGAAATCTCCTAATCGCCACTGGCAGTTAGACACTCATCATGGTCAAGCCCCACCCCTCCCCAACCAGCCCCACCCCTCCCCAACCAGCCCCAACCAGCCCCACCCCGGCCCAACC